AATAGGGTACACCCAACATCTCATGGAGTAGTCATCAATAAATGAGACAAAATATTTTACTCCGCCTAGGGATGTAACTAGTGCTTGCCATACATCAGAATGAACCAATTCTAGAACACTTTTGCCTCTAAAATTTGACGTGTTAAATTTCAACCGGTGCTGCTTACTTATTATGCAATGCTCACACAAAGTAAGTGATACCTTTGTTAAGCCAGGAAATAGCTTTTGCTCCGCAAGGACTTTCATTCCTTGTTCTGACATGTGTCAAAGTTTCTCATGCCATAGCATTACAGAATCTGAACTACAAGAGGCAATAGAGGCTTCTGCTTCTAGCAAAGTCTCTCCCTTCAGCATGTACAAGTTTGCTGCTATCTTTTCGCCTTTTAGAACCACAAGCACTCCACGAAACACCTTCATGATTCCTCTCTGTGTTTCAATCTTGCTTGCATTATTATCCAACAATCCGTAGGATAATAAATTTTTCTTCAAGCTTTTCACGTGTCGCACATCTCGAACAACTTTAATTGTTCCATCATACATCTTCAATTTAATGGTTCTCACGCCAACGATCTCTAAAGCATGATCATTGCAACTATACACAGATCCTCCTGATATTGGTTCATAATGATGGAACCATTCTCTTCTTGAGGCCATGTGATATGTTGCTCCCGAATCAATGAGCCATATATCTGCATATCTCTTTCTACCTTCCACGGTGGTTGACGCTTCACAGCATAGAGCATCTCCATCATCTGAAGTGTTTGTTGTATTGCCTTGTGGATTGGAGTTTTTATTTTGACTTCAACAATCATTCTTCAAGTGACAATTCTTTCCACAATTATAGCAATTTAAATTCTTCTTGCTTCTCGACTTTGATCTACCATGTTTGTAAATGCTGCTTTGGCTACGTTCCGTTGATCTCTCTCTCATCGTTGTCAACGCTTCTGCTTGTTGCAGATTTACTTGTCTGTCTTCCTTGTTCTTGCGTCGATTTTCTTCTTGTAGAACAGCAGCTGCAACATCATCGAAGACTAGACTGGTGACATTACTGTTTGTCAAGTTGATGATGAGTTGATCATACGAATCAGGTAGACTTTGAAGTAGAAGTTCAATATGTTCTTGTTCTCCTATTGTACATCTTAGGGATGTAAGCTGAGAAAATAAAGTGTTCAGTGTGTTTAAGTGCTCCGTCACTGAAGAAGATTCTGGCATCCGGAGATTGTACAATTTCCTCTTAAGGAAAATTTTATTGTGCAACGATGTGGCCTCGTACAATTTGGTGAGATGATCCCATATCTCCTTAGCTGTCTTTTTCTCCTCGATGCTTGACAATACTTCATCTGCTAATGCTAGATGAAAGTTTGCCATAACATTCCCGTCCATCTCGATCCATTTGTTGTTATCTGTGAAATCTACTGGCATTTCACGGATAACTGCTAGACAATCGTCTTTCCTCAGGATGACCTTCATCTTCAATTTCCACAATGAGAAATTTCTCCCATTGAATTTTTCAATATCAAATTTTGTCGTCAAAGCTTCTATTACGGATAGCTCTCACTATTTCACTATCGTGAATAGTTCTCTGGAACCTTCAAAGAATGAGTAATATCTTCTTACTTTCTTATGTTGAAGGATCCACCTTTTGGTGGCAACCACAAAGACAATAAATAGATATTTTACACTCTAATATGGCTCTGATACCAATTTTTACGAAAGACGACTATCGGATAGCCGTCTTCCGTAACACAATGCCATCATCTCCGACCGCAACTCAAACCCCAGCGTTCCATACGTCCTCAACCGACTTAGCATCAGTGGTTTGGTCGGTCTATTGTGGCATTGCCACCATCAGCACACCCAAACACAAAGCTTCGATCGTCGAGTTCCACCCACAATGCGTGAAAAAGCACCCAACGGCCTCATGTGCCAGCACTTTGGTTTAGGGAATCCAGTTAGCTATCAAGGCTTTATCACCCATTTCTTCGGCAAACTAGTCTGGGACTTTGGCCATCTCCGATGATCGAATAACCCACAAGAAATCAAACCCCGTTTACTTTAAACCCCTTGCCAGTTCTTCCATTTGGTCAATGGATAGGTTGGTCATGCTGCCAAACGAGACGTAAACAACTGATCTCGGTGCCTTGGAGGTCAGCCAATGAGTACTAGTGGAGTCTAGTTTGAAGAGATTAAGGTCATAATCTTTGTCCTTTCCGAGTCTTTGATCTAAATATATGGAGGGGATTATCGGTCCGATCGTTAACAATGGTGGAGTCATCACTTTCGACATCGAGTCAACAACTTGTTCAACCAGATGGATCAACGTAAATCAGCCAGACTTTGCAACTATTAATATTGCTGACATATTTGCTTACAACAAGCCTGAGAAGTACAATGCCAGTTCATAGAAAATAAAACGTCATCATCGGTTTGGCCTTGAGTGAACTCGAACATTAAAACTGAAACTCAATTTAGTACTTGAGTTTGAGCAGAGCTTTACGCCCCGAATTTTCATTTGAGCTCAACTTTTTTTGATAAAGTGAACTCGGCTCGGTTTGATTAAACCTTCATACCATATAGTTAATGCGATTAAACTAACCTCTTGTTCCAACTTGTAAAAGGTGTTAACTAGAATGAAGTCAGCTTGGACTGCATTTGAGAATTGAATTAACACCATCTCAAAATAAGATGAATACGAGCCAGCGACATAGGTGAACGATGGCATGTCTCGAAGCTCAAGCAACGACAAACTAGGGATGGTAATCGGCACTGCAGATGACGGAACCGGAAGACTCAAAAGCCCACGGTGAGCATAGTAATATATGTAATCCACGCCACATGCATGCGTGAAAAAAGCAGCCCCGACGATGCTAAACTGCTTGGCAAAATCAAGAGCCCACGGAAGGAAAGCGTCGTAGATTATGCAATCGATAGGATGAGGATCCTGAGAATCCGTATTCGTCATAGCCGTCTGGTATTGTGTCGGAGCCGGTTAACTCAGGTTTCATGGTTTGGGAGATGAAGATGATGGTGACAAAGGTTGCTTTGAGTCCTTTGAAGGATAAGCGTTTGGAGAATTGGAGCATTGGGTTAATGTGGCCTTGGCTTGGGTAAGGAATGGCCAATACATGGACTCTGTTTGTATCTTTTTTCTCCATCCCCCCTCCCCTCTTAAGATATTCAACGATATTGGAGTCAGATATTTATAAAGGAAAGAATGAATAATATAAATATAATCTTAAAAATTCATTTAGTCTGTTCAATATTTTTATAAATCTCTTCTTCTAAGGTGATTATAAAATAACATACGGTCTAAATTCTTTCAACCATTTGATAATAAATACTCAATCACTTTGTTGTAGTCACCTATGCTCATACTCGTGATCCTTAAAAATAACAACGAATTTTTTAATAACTAAAGTAAATTGATTCGTATATTTAAATTCTATCGTTAACTCTCGTATTATGATATTAATCTTATTTTTTAAAAAAATATTTTACGTTTATTAAAAACGATGTATAGGTATTATCTGTACCATACTTTTAGATAATTCCCAATGACGAAATTGGAATCGGATAAAAATACCATACGTCAACCTTGTACACAAAACAACAATGCATTATATCGTTTGGTCTATTTATATGATATTTGTTTGATCTTATTCTGGCCATGCATTCAAACAATTTAATATGCAGGTATACATGAATTTGTCCATATTTGAAGTTAAATACAAATATCATTTTGGCATTTGATTTATTATCCGACTAATTTGATTTATTATCCGACTAGTTTGATTTATTAAATTTTAAAAATTTAAAATTTATTTTTTTAAATTAATGTAGGGTAAGTATGAGATAACATATATTCAAAATACTTTCAATTATTTGATATTAAACGTAGTGGAAGAACATTATGGGCCTCTCTCAATTATTTTTTCAAATATTAATTAATATTATATATATATATTAAAAAATAAATAAAGAAAAATTTACATGGTCCCCTCAATTAAAAAAATTATATTTATAAAAAATAAAAATATTTTAACTCCGCTATAATAATTCCTAGTTCCGCTACTGAACTCAACCTTTAATATTTTAAAAGTTATATACATTTTTAAAAATTATAATACCGGAGTTTTCAAAATATTTTAAGATTATTAAGGAGTTCTTTTTATAAGTCTATCAAATTTTTAGATTTTCTAAATTATATAATTTGGAAAAAATATTTTTTTATTTTTATAAATTTCTAAATGTTGTTGACATTTTTATAATCGGTCCATTTCATTGCACTGCCTTTGTGGTTCTGGTTTGACATCCCTCTATCTCATCTCGACTCACAATTCCATCCTCCTCGACCTTAACTCTAAACCCGACCTTCCAAACATCTTCGACCAGTTTACCGACAGTGACGTATCCATAATTATTTTTTAAGTTGGACACATATATTAATAATAACGAATATATAGTGTTTAGGGAAAATCAGTGCATTGATTCTGGTGAGCTTTTGTTTTGGTAGAAGACTGTAAAAAACTTGTCTTTTGTCACTGAGAAATTGCAGTCGTCTGTAATCTTTGGCATTGTAAAATTCTTCTCTACTTATTTATTTATTTGCTATACTTTGTTGCGGCATATGGAAAAGCACAACTCAGAAACCAGAAATGTTTACGTGAATGAAAATTATTTACCTGGTTCTGTTAATATGTTTCATTTTAAATTAGTTCTCATTCTTACATTCATTCTCTTTCATATTTTGGTTCTAGATAATATTTGATAATATTCTCAACCGTAAAATACCTTGGCCACGGGCACCAGAAGAAATAAGCCTGGAAGCAAAAGATCTAATTGATGGGTAAGAAAACTATTTTGTTGATGTCATTGGCATTTCATGAGAATTGGATTCATCATTCATCTTGAAATAAATTACAATTGTAATGCAAAAAAGCAGTAGCCCAAGTGATTTCTTGTTACATTATTTGATGGACATAATTTTTTTGAGTTGAAGGAAATATTCTACGGAGCATTCATGGTTTGCAGAGTTAACTGTTCTGTATTTGCTTAAGAGAAGTTTCAGTCCTATACATTGAAAAGTAAATCCATTTTCCTTTGAATTTTATTTCAGTTTTTTACGGATACACAATTCGTTTCTCCTTCTAAATTTGTCAGTGAAAGCCAACAACATTTAATATTCTAACAGAACAAACAATCTTACAGCCATTGTTGTCTTTTGAGCGAGAATTGTTGATGATTCATAAAGCGGGCGCAACACTTCTGGCACACTTCATGGCTGGTTGGCAATAAACACTACAAAATAAGTATACATATCATATGCTATTTATAATTTGGTGGATGGTTCCTTACAGGAGTTTTAATGAGGCTGTCAACGGTTTCACTGATGAGGGGTGCTCAATGATGGAAAATGATGGCATCGATGACATTACTATCCTCGTAAATTCGTCTCCTGACAAGCTGATGAGCCTCAACCTTCCCTTTGCAAAGGGTTTTCTTCTGTCAGCAATATGGTCCTATGTGCAAAGGGCATCAATGCTCTTACAGGTTGGGATGCTTCCAATGTTTAAGTCTTCATGGCTAATGAGAGCGGTTTTGCGAAGTATATGACATGGTTTACATATTGTTCATAGCTTATGTTTTATTGTGTTCGTGTTGTTGCTAAGATGCCATTATAATTACTGTTACATGATGTTATTCCAATGTTTGTTATCTTCTTCATGCTTGTTAATATTGTTTTTCGCTAGCTCAAGGGGACTGAATTTTTAAGCATGATATTTTCTGAATGTTATTCTATAACATCTGCATAGTTGCAAATCATTCTATCATATCTAGTCTTTATGTGATTCATGATTTTTTTTCCTTCTCCACTGTTGTTTCCCTTTTAGAACATACCACCCGCAAGTCGGACGTATTTCAACACCGTAAACGAAAATGGGGTCAGAATAAACATATTGAAGTCGAATTCAGAAGACAATTTGACGTCGCCGAGATCCTTTATCACAGGGGGTTGAAGGTGAATTATGCATCACTGCATGGAAACGAACATTTGCCAACAATGAGAGTGGTCAGATATGATCATCTATTCTCTTTGAGATAACTGTTGAAGCATTAGAAACGTAGGAACATATTTAAGTTGCAAGTGTACTTCTTTTTCCCTTCCCCCTTAGTTCCAATGCTATCTTCTAAGTTCTAAGCAACTGATAGTCATTGTAAATAATAAGTATTTGGCTGGTATTATATTTCTTTAGATGTCCGATAACTCTTTAAGGATTTATCACTCGAATGTACACCTCCCATGCATATTCGAACCCATGACGTTCCCTTACAGGAATTACTTTTACAGTCATTGTCCCTTTTAATCTAAAAAGATTTTGGGAAAAAAATGAATAAGCGGCCCTTATACTTTTGGAAAAACAACCACTGTGGGTTGTCATGTCAACACCGTGGACTGTCACATCAGTATCGTAACGATAACGATGAAAAACGTTTGTTAAAGGGTCACATTGGACTAATTTTCTGAGTTGAAATGCCGCATTGGGTGAAAAATAATACAAGAACCACATTGGTTCTTTTCCCCAAAAGTATAGGGACATCTAATACGTTTTTGTCAACAAATTTTGTATAAAAGGTTACGAGTTCGAATAAAAATGTACTTTTAGGTGAAAAATACTCTAAAGTGATAGATATTCAAAAGGAATAATATTGATATATAATAATTAAAGAGAAAATAACCTCAGTGACCAAAAATCCCATATAATATACGATTTTAACCAACTTTTTCCGGATTTGCCAAAATGACCAACAAAATCGCAATGCGATCGCTAATTCGCAACGCGATCTCCATTATCGCAAATTCGCGTTGCATTTTCGCAATGCGATAGTTGAAAATCGCGTTGCGATGGTCTACAGTATCGTTGCGATTTTCACAATTCGCAATGCGAATAAGTAAATCGCAACGCGAATTGGGAAATTCGCAATGCGAATAAGTAAATCGCAACGCGAATTGGGAAAATCGCAATGCGATACTGACTATCGCAATGCGATAATAAAAAATCGCAACGAGATACTTACTTTCGCAACGCGATACTGACTTTCGCAACGCGATAATACATAATCGCAATGCGATTTTCAAAGCGCCATTAGTATCATGGCCAAGTATTTTATTTTTAAATTCCAAACATGAATATAAATATATTGGAACACTGAACTGTCCACAGTATATCCCGTAATCGCAACTCATAACCTAAAACCTAAAATCACAACTCAGTCCCATCTCCATCTCTCACTCTCTCACCCATCTCCGACGAAATCCGTCCCCATCTCCGGCGAAATCCATCTATCTAAATCTCTCAGAGCCACCCTCACAATCAGAAATGGAAAATCAACCAAATCAACCAACGAGGGTTAGTTTTTTAATTATTTTCTTTTTGAAATTTTTGCATTATTATTAGGTTTTTCATATTGAAATTGATGATAGGTTTACTGGTAATTTCAATAATAGATTAACCATTTCACTTAGATTGCTTATTAAATCAACCAAGAATCGCAACGCGAAATGCAAATCGCAACGCGATTTTAGTTTCTCGTTGCGATAGTCATTTTCGTGTTGCGATTTTCATTTTCAGAAACTATTCTTCTTCTGCAAATTGAAACTTGAATGAATTGCATTACTTCAACCAAAAAACAAAGACAAATACGAAATTCACAGTGTTGCATATTTAAGTTTGAAGAATAAACTACTACTATTTATGTTTATTATTGTTTTTGGTATATCTTCACAGTGTAGTTTTTGGTATATCTAATTTAGTATGTTTATTGTTTTTGTAGAACTTTTATTCGGCTCAATTGACCTTGAGAAATAAAGTCAGCCTGGCCAAAACAATTGCGTCGAAGCTTTCACCTGCACAAAGAAAATGTTGAGGATACATGCTTCGGGCCATGGCTGAAAGTACAACATCCCGGTGGAGATGCGATGTTGACACACCTGTTTCTTCAAACCATGACTAGAGATCTACCAGAGACTATACAACGTCGTGATGAAGAGATATGGTTTGATTTTCCACCGGTGTATACGTGTTTTGGGCGGGAGGAGTTTTGCTTAATCACCGGTCTACGCTTCGGACACGATGATGTAGGTCGGTACACTAGACACATTACCCGCCCATCATGGCTATCCCGGGTTTTTCCTGAGCTGGAGAGGCCGAGTCTACACGTAGAAGACCTGACAAGATTTTTGAATAATAAAGATGGTTTTACTCGGATGGATGACGTCGACGTTGTCCGAGTATGCCTTCTAATTCTTTTGCATGCCGGCTTTTTAGGCAGAGAGGCCAGACAACCTATTCCAAATGATCTAATCAAATTGGTAGAAGACCTAAATGCGTGGAACCTGTTTCCGTGGGGCTCGTATTTATGGAAAGCTACATGAATAAGTTATCGTCTGCCTTGGATGATCGAAAAAGTTTGCATGGCGATGGTTCCAAATACACTTTGACAGGCTTTATTTGGGCCTTTAAGGTAAGAATTTTTATATAATGTTTCCAAAATTATAAGTAATTATTTAACAATTACTAATGTTTGTTATTATATTGTTTGTAGATTTGGATATTTGAGGCCTTTCCCGCCATGAAGACATATGCAATAAAACTTCAAATAATATTCCCAGGGCTATTTCCTGGAAGAGGAAACGAACCTTGCAATGGGAAGATTTACTACGGTATACGACAATAAATAATGTAAGTTAACATAAATACTACCATATGTTTATAAACAAGTTATTACTAGTACACATTTAACTTTGTTTAAGCTTTTATATTGTTAGGAGGCCAACACTCCTCTACAGAGGCTGACACCCACGGAAGCTGAGCTTGCCACTGATTGGTGGCAAGCTAGTAAGCGTTTTTTTGATGGAACGGTTGATGAGCAGCCTCCACTTCGGGAGCCATCACCTCGCCCAGAGCTATCACCTCACCTAGAGCCATCATCTAATCGACCCGGCTATACACCTCCACAACGACAGCCATCACCTATTCTTTCACATCATCGAGCCTCTTCTCCACCATCACCGCAAGATAGGCGACCGGCAAAGATGTCACGACGTTTATCTCCCTGTTCTCCACCTCCACCTCAACGGGATGAGTTAGGGGAGTTACGTGATGAGGTCAATGCCTTGCATGAGGAGGTCGGTACTTTACGCAAAGACGATGGTGCATGGCGTGTTGAGGTGTCTACATTACGCGGTGAGGTAGCCGCTCTACGTGAGATGGTAGCATCGTTGCAGAATGAGGTTCATACTCTACGCAACGAGGTAAGTTTAAGATTTTTCATACTCGTAATTCATTCGGTTGCTGCCAATCTGTTTTTGTTAGTATTTGTTTTTGGTTTTGTTTTTGTCTTTTGGTTGAAGTAATGCAATCCATTCAAGTTTCAATTTGCAGAAGAAGAATAGTTTACTTTCGCAACACGAAAATGACTATCGCAACGCGGAAATGGCTATCGCAATGCGAAATGAAAATCGCAACGACAAAATCGCAACGCGAAATGAAAATCGCAATGCGATTTGTGTTTCGCGTTGCGATTTTGTCGTTGCGATTTCATTTCGCGTTGCGATTTTCATTTCGCATTGCGATAGCCATTTCCGCATTGCGATAGTCATTTCGCGTTGCGATTTTAAGTTTCGTGTTGCGAAAGTAAAATATTCTTCTTCTGAATGTTTATATATGTTGTCCTTTTAAATGTTTATATAAGTGCTTACTTCTGGAATGTTATCTGAGCATTTTGTGAACTATGATAGAATAATGATTTAGGTGAATACAATGCTAGTTTGAAACATATTTGTCTTTGTTTAATATCATGTCTGTTTATTTACTGATTTATGTATTAATTTTTTTTAGCGGCCCGATAAGGTGGATGCTTTACGTCGGGTTTTCCTTGCACGACGGAGTTCACGCATCAGACGGCGTGGACGTGCTATTACGTCTCCGTTCACCCCAATGGTGCGAAGACTCCGCAAGAAGAAGCCCGACTCACCGGTCATCCCTCAAGAGTCCCCTCCAATCGTTCAAGAGGCCCCTATTCTCCCTCAAGATTCTCCCCCCACCGTTCAAGAGGCCACTGTCATCGTTGAAGAGGTCCCTCCCACCATTCCAGAGCCCGATTCACATGGGGTAATATATCGAAGTATTGAGAAACCCCCACCGGTTCCGGACATGATGGATGAGAGTTGGCTCTCGTATGAGTTACCGGCTAGTACCCTTCCGGTATCTGAAGTGGAGAGGAGACAACTACCGGAAACAATTGTGGATAATACCCTTTGGGCTAAGACCGCAGTTGATTTTTATCTACATGAGCGGAGCCAAGGGTGTTACACTGACATCAACAAACTCAACGATGAAATGTTTTTGTTGCTTGATCGGTCTTGGTGGGGTGTGCTATTAGGGGTTGAAGACAGTGGCTATTTGGATGGGGATGTAAGACTATATTTGTCTTATATATGATTTTGATTAATTTGTTTAAAAATTAATGTAATTCACTAATATATGTATTTTTTTGTAAAACAGCATATCGATGCATGGGTGTTACGTCTACTAATAATAAGGAAGCTTAGGAAAAATAAAAAAAATTCGCTATATACAATAATGCCGACGGCTTTTCACGCAGTTCACTTGAAGAATCAACGAGATGAATCATTTTTGTTGGGCAATGGACAAGCTAAACTTTATCCTGCATGGTGGGAGGTCGATACGGTTAGTGTTTATTTTTTAAATTTTTTAAAGGTGTTAATAAATAATAAGTGCGCAAATAAATGAATTATTACTTATGATCGCAGGTGTTTATCCCTGTTTTGGAACGTCGTCACTGGCTTCTCGTCCAACTTCAGCTCCCATCCCTGAAGATAATAGTGTATGACAGCATGATCAATTACATATCACTGTCTGATTTGAGAGATATTTTCAAGGGATGGAGCTCTCATTTGGCTAAATTCTTGGATGGGATTAAGTATTGGATCATTCTGGACACAAGAAGCCAAAGAAGTTCAATGTCACAGTTGTCAGAGACGAGACCGCGCCACAGCAATTGCCGGAGCCAGAGGGGATTGTGGTCCTCTCGTATGC